GCATACTATATTTTTAAATTTTAGTTTAAAAATGATAAAAACTAAACATCCTACAGTATTTTTACAGTCTTTATTTTACAGTTAAAATATGTGTTTATTAAATAAAGTCTAATGTTACAACTAATCGGGGATCCCTTTAAATGTACTTACCAGCCACTTTATTAGATACATTTTGATAGTACTGGGTTGGAGCCCACTTTGCCTTCAGAACTGCTTTATTTCTTCATGACATAGGTTCAAGAAGGTGTTGAAAATACTCCTCAGAGATTTTGGTTCATTTGGTGTGATAGCACCATGCAATAATTTCAGATTTGTCAGCTGTACATCCATGATGTAAACCTCCTGTTCCACCACAACTCAAAGGTGTCTGATGGTGACTTTGGAGGCCGCGAAGTAAAATTTTGACCACTTTGTAATTCTCCAAAGCCTAAACAATATTAAGGCATTAAAGATATGTTAATGTTTTTTATTCTATTTTCCCTGAAGTTAATCACAGTATGTGGTCATCATATTTGTAATTTTTCTTTCAAAAAATGCCCATACGTTTTATACAAGACAGATAAGGACTGCAGGCAGTCCAGGCCAGGTCTATTGCCTTCTTTTCCTACAGCAGTGCAGAATGTGGTGATTGTAATGTTGCTTTAGAGAAAAAACCCCCACATATGTCCCTGAAGGGAATGTCTTTCTGACAGCTGAATATATTGCACAACMATCAAACTTCCATCTACTTCTTTGCCCTAATGTTACGTTCAGGGTTACTCAGTTGTGTAAAGTTGGATTATTTTTTCTTGTAATGTAATAATGTAGCTTCATTATTGAAGACATAATCACTTACTTTGCAAATAAACAATTCATTGCTATTACATTTCACTTGAGTTTATGGAAATAAAAAAAATCCCAAATGATTTCTGCGCATTGGTAATCATGAGAAGATAGGATTTCCTTTTTTCTTTTTTTAATTTGTGTGTGAGAAGGTCAAGACTAACCCCATGGTGAATTTCACACTTTACTTTGGTGATAAGTGTCTGTCAGAGGTGAAGAACTCCAATTCAGATTTAATGAAACACCTGCAGATTAAGCACAGCTCTATGTTATTGATTTTAAAATCCTAATGGATAGCTTTCAATTGACTAAAGCTGCCACTCCAGTGTTGGTATTTGATGGATAAGATGCTCCTATTAAGAATGGGATCTTTTAGGCATACTAGTTTGATGTCAATTGGAAAACATGTTAATTAAAGCACCATATAAAGGGGATGCTGCTTGTTTCATTCTTGGTCTTTACATGCCAAAAAACTACTTTTAAATATGAAGACCGGATAAATGATAATATAGAAATATTTCTGTCTCACAGCTCAACTAGTTTTACAGCTTAGTCGCAAACTGAGCAAAGTGTTAGTGTTTTGTTTTCTTCCCAAATATGAGCCCTTATTAGCTATTTCTTCACCACATTGGTTATAAGAGCATAATGTTAGGATTTTATTTCGTAAAATTTTAAAGTTTAATCTACTCTGGCTTGATAGTTATWATGGATTTATAATCTGGTGTTCCTGACAAATTTTAGTAATTTAGTTCAGCTAATTTCAGGATATTTATATAGTGCCATTTCACAATAAAATTTATCTCAGGGCACTGTAAAAAACATTCACATACAACATAAAATGCCAATTAGTTAAGTTATCTTAAAAAGCCTGCAGATTATGTCAGATCCTCACTGTGTCCCTATAGCCCATGGAGCAGCACACTGGTGACAGTGGGAAGAAAAAAACTCCTTTTTTAACAGGAAGAAACCTTCAGCAGAAACAAGCTCAAGACAGGATGCCATTGGCCTCAAATGGCTGTGTCAGAGAGGACGGGAAAAAGACACAAACAAACTCTGGGAAGAAAGTAAAACAAGTTAATCAAAGAAATAATTACAATATAAACATAAAGAGCAAAACAAGTAAAGACAACAGCAGAGTGAGGAAATGTGCTCAGTTTGTGCTCCAGCAGTCTAAGTCTACAGCAGAAGAAAAGAAGAATAACTCAGGAAACCTAAGCCTAACTATAGGATTTATCAAAAAGGAAAGTCTTCAGTCTAATCTTAAAAGTAGACAGAGTGTCAGCCTCACAGACAGAAACTGGACGTTGGTTCCACA